TAAATTATAAACAGTTGTTAGAAGTTTTCGATTTAACTGAACAAACAACTGCACGTTAACTATTAAGCACATCGCCGTTTCTCTAGTAGCGAAAGGAAGGGTGGGAGTGTCTTTCGGCACAGAGCTGGGCCGTGCAGAACCATGAAACCCTTTTCTTGTGACTGACAAGGTTTCAAGGGCAAAATCGTTCAATTCCCTTTTTACATCAGGAATTGGTTTATCCCATTAGGGCTTCATCGCAAAAATAAGGATTACTGTAGTGGGTACGAACTATTGCACCAAAATGCTTTTTCCGCTTTTTTTCCTTCCCCCACCCTATATGGAGGTGATGGCCCGTCTGTTACCTTTTGGGAGCTCCAAGAGTCGCCAACAGCTAGGAGACCATAAGAGCATCGACTGTCGATTTTTTTCCTGCCAAACTTCATCCTTCCACATTCTCCTGGCTCCCGAGCTCGATGGCGCATGTTCGTGTAGGCGACTGACTTGACCGCTCCATTATAGCAGGTGCGTGATGCTGTCGAAACTTCTTGTACAGCAGAAGATCAGTGCTTTCGTGGTTTCTTGCTGGAACGCCAAGTGAGTGCCATAGCAGTGAAGGTGTGCTACCACACAACATTCGAGAGAATCGTTCTCTGTTTTTCGACAGACCATCCATCCTGTGGAGTGGTCAACAACTTTTTTGAAGTTATGCACAACCCATGCGCGAACCTTCGTTGTGCCTCCTAGCTGGATTCTGGTCCCTTGAATAAAGTGGTTCCCGTATAGTGTCATAATGTCTAAAGTAGTCGCTGCGAGCCGTCTTACATTTTCTCTCGTAGCTCCAAATGACCCTTGACCACGACGAAACACTCACGTCAGGTGTGCACGAACACACCCCTTTTTGCCTTTCTGTTTGATTTAGGAATACACGGTATTTCTTCGCAGTACTCCTTTCTTTCAATACAGCTGTATCTGGACGATAGTGGACAGTAAAAACAGAAGGTTTTGGCGACAATATTGTCTTCAGAATGTCTACCGCTAAGAGGTGAGGAACACCGCGCGACACTGCTTCATTAGCTGCTTGGGAATTCTTTCTTAGCTGCGATACTGCACTTTGGCAAAGGTTTGTAGGATTTGAGCGCTTTTGATTACGGTTAGCTTCTTATGCCCTAAAACTATAATACGTCTATTCTTTGGCCACAACCATAGCTCAGTACGAAACTTTCCCAACTTTAAAGGAATGCTGAGTTTTTGATTTTTTTTTTCGATAATTGCTGTTTTTCGCCAAATCCATTATCTGCCAAAGCTTGGGGGCAAAGCTCGGGATTTCTGAACGAAATCAAGTCTTTGCGAGAGAAATATTGGAGTGAAACGAAAGCGCAGGGCATGTACTCACTTGGCCCCACGAATAAGAAGGTTGAGGCGCTAAGGCCTAGGGACCTAACGTATGCTCTGCCTACCTCCGTACACCTCCTCCCCTCTCCCTACATAAATGCTATTTTGCGCCGCTAGAAGAGGGGACTTGATTTCGTCCTATCTGCAGTTTTTTTCTCTTTTTTTTTCATTGCCGACGTTACATTTCACATCTTTACTGTCACTTACAGTCGCAGTAGCACATCAGTTCGATCCTGGACTTTGCCCCCAAGCTCAAGCGTCCACAGCCGATGTTGTGGTGGACTCATCACGTTATATTTGGGCGTGTCGATAAACTTTCGTAAATATGCCGTTGAAAGCTGAGTCAAGGTATAGCATGACTCCGGTAGATGGAGGTTTGGGTTCGAGATCCGATTAGTGGCCGCTTTGTTCATAATTTACAGAACATATTAGGTTGCTATGGGATCTAAGAGAGATTGTACCGTTGGACCTACCTTCAGACATTGATCTTGAATCTGCCCTCCAAATCTGCTGAACGATTTCTTAAAAAGAGTTAAGAAGCAGATTAACTTAGTTTCTAGTGGAAAGGCGCAGAGGCAAGACGTCGCGAGATAGATCTCCTGTCGTATCTGTCTTTTGCTCTTGTACGCAGTGTAGCTAGAAATATTCATACTGCGTTTCCTTATCAACGCTTGCCTAAAGATACCTGTACGAAGAACTTGTTAACAGTTGCAGGCAAGTTAGCGACTGTCCCCTATGACAGCTTACGGCGTCCGATCACACGTGCCAGTGATTTCGCGCAAAACGAGTGTGATTTCCGTGATAAGGGAATAAAATTACCCATAGAAGCAGTCCTTCAGCCAATTCCTTAATGGTATAGTTGAGCAGTCGTCCATCATCTATCCGCCTTTCATCGAAGCTTGGTCTTGAGACAGGATCTCTTTTCAGAAATATCAAAGTTACGTTCTGAATAGTTCTGTAAGTTGAATTGAAAACAATTAAAGACGAAGTACACCGCTATGATCTCAACTTCTGTGTTCTTATTTCGGACAAGTGGCGGATCGATGCATTTGTGTTTTATGTTGATAATGTTATTATTATTCCCTTTTTCTCCCATTTCTCCCAACACGAATATGCTAGTTCACTTAAAGAGGCTTGCCTTCAAAAGATTTTGTAATCTAAACTCCTAGTCTGTTCCAAAAGTTTTGAAAATTTCTGCTCCTCATTTTTGAGAGCATGTTAAGCGCAACTTCACAAATCCATAAAATATGTAGCAGGTGATATTTATCGAAGTATGTTCTACCGATATAACTATGGACATATGCTACAGTGCTACCGTTTTAAACCCTTTTCCATTCGCGCTCGGATAGAGTTGCGTTTTTCACAACTGTATGCCCTCCCTTGCCACCTGTATAGGTGATACAATCTCTTTCATGAAAAAGTTTTGTGTCTTTGTAGTTCCTCAGAGCAATTTCGATTTTACAATAGTGACTTTTTCTTATCTCTACCTGAACCACTTAAGGTTCGAGGAAATTTGAAAGAATCGCATCTACTTCTTGTCCCTCATCCACAGGATTCTCGGAAGTGGGATTTCTGTAGCACTCCCCTGACCTATCCCACGGTCCACTGAAAGAAAGTGTCGAGTGAGATCGATGTGTGCCAGATGTTTTCCGATCTTAAGCGAACGCCGAATGGGACAAAGATCGCCATTGTCAAGATGAAAGGTGGATCTCATGTGACCATCCCCACTCTTGTTTACAGTGGCTACCGCTCGACGTGAAGCTGTAGCCTTTTAGAATGCATGACCCTCATACTGAGAAGGAGATGGCTTTATTCCTCTTCTACCCCATTTGGTGCATTTGCGAGGCGATTCTTTAGGGTACTGTTGTAGCACCGAGGACGTTTCGTGAACAACTCAAGAGAGGATGTCTTGAGCGCATTTCCACTGGTTTGAAGAAGATTGGGGATTGAAGATTAGTTGCCTGGAACCAAATTTATTCCGAATATTAGATCTAACGCGACAACATTCTCAATGAACTTCTATTTTGTGTTCCCTATTTAGCGGATGGGGATGAACTGAACTTTGAGTTGGACTCCAATGCTCTCTTCATAACTTCGCTTACATAGTTTCCCATCTCAGCTCTATCGTTTAGCTCGAGTTCGAGTTCGAATCTGAAGAAACCGGGAAGTCCAGATAGCTAGTGGAAATGGGCGTTCTTGCAGAAGCAGATGGTTGAAATGTCGCACAATTTGGGTATGACATCCGCTTAGTGTTGTTGCAGTAGAGTGACCCTCTCTACAATTCTTTGCAACGCAACGTCGCGCTCTGGGGTGTCAGCTTACACCCGTGGATTCTCCTGATCCTAAACTTTTAGGTTACGATTACGCGCCTCATTGTGAAGTAGCGCATTCTAACCAAACCTCAACCAGTCAAAAAGTGCAGAAATAAGCGCAGCCGTTAACTGGTGAGAGCGCTTATCCCAAGATGGGACACGGCAATCGGAAACACTCACGCCATAGCCACGAGTCTCCGTGCGCGACATGTGTATGTTTATTTGTCCACACATTCCTGTGGATTGCTGAATTCAACTTCCATTTTCACCGTAGGAGAGCATGTATTGTTGCTTTTAATCTGATAATTCTTTTTTCAGGATGAATATTGATTGTAATCTCCATTCTTATTCGGGAAGCCGCTCGGTTGCTCAACGATTAAAACAATGTTCACTCAAGGTAGTTGTTTTATTGTGTGCACTATTTTTTTCCGTGCTGCTATTTACTTTTTCAGTCTTTTTTAGTCTGTGAAAACCGCTAGTCATATCGTTGATAGGGGATATATTTCGATTACTTGGAAAGAAGCACCAATACACCCACTGTCTGTAAACTACTGACAAATATGCACTCATGCTTATTTGTCTTAATTTCTAGCGATTAAGGAAAATTGGGTTTCTCTTTTTTTGTTCGCTGGAAACTTTCGTCAGAAGTTTTCTGAGTAAGCCGGCAAGGGGTCTGTAAAAGCTTGCAAGATTGGCCTGCTACGGAAATCACACCCATCGTCCTTGGCTAGTTTAATGCCTCCTCTAACGCGAATGTACTATTTTTACTACTTCCTTCCTTTCCACTGGAATGGACATCTTTTAGATCAAATTTGACATTTTTCAAAAAATCGTGGACATTTCCCATCCACTCTCTCGCTTTCCAATACGAATCGAATCGCTTGAGTTGTCAAGGGCAAAATGTCTTTGTTATTTTTTTGCCCATTTCCGGATGCAGTAGTGAATTTTCGAGCATCGCACTTTTTGGTCTGTAATTGAGGTCAAATTGTTTCTGTTAACGAATTGACTTAGCACCTGTTCCAACAACGAAGTTTTTCAACTACGCGAAAGCGCTTTTCTGCCGTACAATGCTGAAAATTGAGCTCTTCAATAATGTGATACATGCAGGCGATGGAAATCGATTTTTTGGCATATGGTATGTTTTGTAAAGGTCTCGGGGCATTTGCGCTGTGTGAGAATTAGTAATTAAATCAAATACTCGAGCTGTTTTCTAAATTTGAAAGCTGAGTTTTGGCTTGTGCGACACATTACGGTTAAGTCCCGTGATTTGTGACTGATGAGGTTGGAATAATTCATGCTTTGAAAACTTAAAAAATGGCATTCGACAAAAGCGTACGAATGGCTTGATTGCTTCTTGTGAATCACCAATTTCTGATTTTGGGTAAAGTGGAATCAACAATAAATGGATATTTCGTAAATACAAATTAATAGAGACTGTACGGACTTGATTCACCAACCCAACACACTTTTTATTAAAAACATGTACCATCTTTTTAGTCGCTATGTGTGCCTACAAAGGCTATAAGTAGAACTGAAGCTCGGTGCTGACCGCATGTAGTGCATGCTAGGTTAGGTTGCCAATTTACAGTCATTCTAGCTTTTTGATTCAAGAAAATGAATCGTTTTACAGGATCTCAATAACACGACATCCAATGGTAATCTTGCGTTCAGAACTCCCAGTTTGCGTGGGTGTAAACCATCACCGAAACTAACATCCAAGCAACGTAACACTGTGCGCATTATCGCTCAGTATCTTCGAGATTTGGGATTGAAGTGAGAATTTTCTAATATGCAGTCGTGTGCGCATGCTTTGACGAAGATTTGTTAGTCTGTTTAACCCTGTCCGTAGACGAGTGATGTGAGCGGCTTTCCAAAGTGATAGAAGTCTTTCTTCTTCTAAATGCCATCCACCCGCAAAGCCGCTCATTGAACTCGTGCATATCAGTAGAGCAGATTTTCTTCATTAGTTTTTGGAAAACGTGAAGGATCAAACGTTTTACAGAGAATCGCTGGATGTCCTCACAGAAGAAAGTGGATGCAAAGTCGAAAATGCAAATGCACGTCAACTGCGAGAAGCTATTTATCAAGGTTACCTTTTACGAACTTAAGTCTTGTGTCCGGCATAGTGGTCTGGAATCAAGGTAGATTAGGATTCTTTTATGAATACTTTTCTCTCATGTTTGTGAGTACAACCCCATTAAAATGTGTTTAGAAAAGAAAGCAAAAAAAAAACAACGAAACATTGGCTTAGGTAAATGACAATGTTCTTGTTCACAATATTTCTCGCCTCTTGATGGGGACAAATCTCATCGACAAAGGAGGGTTGTAGTTAAAGCTATAAAACAAATTGGATGGAAAAACGAGAAGTTGTGCTCATCCATTTTTCTTCTACTAGCATGAATATTTGGTTTTATTCGTGGTTAGGAACATTACAATAAGAGTGTCGATGAGTGATGGGTGATCTCTTGTTATTCACCTTGTGCGTACCTTCACAATTCCACCCCCCCCCCCTCCTTCGGTTTCTGGACTGTTCCGTATCCGAAGTAGGATTCTTTTTTTATTCTGGGTGCCAGGGCTCTGTTTAGCTGATGTGTGTTTTGTTGTCCCTGCGCCATGTCCCACTCAACTCATAAATGACCGCGCCTTTCCTAGTGGATTTTCAGTAATGCCGAATTCCGTAACAGACAGATAAACAAGATGACAAACGGATAAACGAAAGACAGTGCCAGTTAAAATACATCTACAGTTTGGACCCCATTTTTTAAGAAACCAGCTAAAAAAAGCATGAAGCATTTGCCGTTGATCAATCCCCTTTTGGGATGCGGCACGCATTCTACTTCCATTTCTACATTCGCGGTGGCATTTGAATGCGATGTGGCCTATACAATGACTTGCAGGGCCGATGTACAAGTCAGTCTTTTTTATCCTCTCAGACAAGTCTGGTACCAATTTACCGACCCCGTAGGGATGGAAGGCTTGGTTGGCCCGGGCGACTCACGACTCAGGATTTGATCCCCGGACATTCTATAGATGAAGGTCAAGATTAGAAATGTTTCCTGGTATGAACACATGCCACTTTCCCGACTTACCATTACGAATTCCGTCATCCTGCGGCGGTGAACATTTATGAATCATATCCCTTTCATTTTCCTTCCCCTTCTTTACATGCGATATCAAATCAATTTATTACATGTAGGTATACGCGTAGGTAAGTTAAGTCGATAGTTTAAACGAGAACGAAATTGATGCGAACCTCACATCTCTTTATCTTTAGTTTGCAAAGCCTGTTAAGCTATCCTTTGTGTAGACAAAGTTTCAAGACATCTGTTACAAGGCTCACCGAACATATTATTGCAATATGCAGTGGGTTGTTCAGGAAAGTGGGATGAGGCTACTGCAGTTCTGGACAAGTGTTACGCGAACCTCAAGCCGCTACAACTACAGGCTGCAAGGCTAATCATACTAGAGGAAAAGTTCTATGATCTACTGTATTCTGAAAATGTGAGTGAATTATATCAGCTCGGTTTTTATTTCCGAAGTAACTCGCTTCTTCTTCGATTGCTCCTAGAAATTCTATTGCAACAGAGAGCTTAATATAAGGAACGGATGCTCAACAGGACTGTATTTTTCATCTCGACGCTGCAAGCTCCCATCTTTCTCATTTTTTGTCACCTGCCGCATATCAGAAGCATGCTGTAAAAACCATTCGGTCCTGTCTTTCGCAATTGCCTTCGTGGTCAGTTATAGCCGACTTAGACGGCGAGTTGAAGAATCGGCCAGCTACATTCGCCACCGTTTATGCGGTCGACAAGCACATACCCCCAGCAGGTCTGGCTGATTTATGGGAGCCCACTTCAGCGTTCTTCTTGTCTTCGTTTTTCTTCTGACTAATACGGGTCAGCTCCGTTGCAATTTTTCATTAGGAAAAGGTTCGGAAGGTGTGCCTCTCATAAGTAAACCAGCAACCTTCTGTATTTTTCGGCCCTCGTCTGCTTGTTGTTTTCTGAGATGAACTGAAACTGAGATAGGGACGAGCTTCTCAGCGACTATCTGCTCCATCGATGGCACCGTTCAGGTCGTCGCGGTTCTTTAGATGGAGCACCGCGGCTCAGTCAGTTCAAGGACGGATCGTTCTAGTCGTCCTATTCGTAGAAACGCTCGATATTGATGCTGTTGAGTTCAGATCTTATAGGAACAACAAAACACATCGCTCGCGGGAAGATCGCATGTTCAACCGGCTACGTTTTCGTTGTCTCGAACATGTTGGGAGTTACACCACTGTAGCCGCAAGTGGCAGCGAAACTTCCTGAGTAACTAAATAATGACTAAAGTGCAAATAATCAACAATTTTTTCGCAACGACTTTTTGAATTTTGGCGTCAATAACTTCGGGACACCCTCATTTGCCCTTTATTCTGGTGGACTCTATTACTCCAGAAAACCGATTGGAACCGTAAAATTACATTCATTTTCAGCTTGTTCTCATTTTCGAGAACATTCACCGAAAGCCATTATCATGAAAATTCTAACATTATGAAACCTGTTTTAAGATATCTATGGCTCTACGGTTGCTTCGTGAGGAATTCCCAAATACGGCTGCGGTGCGGGAAAAACGATCTAGCATGATTCGAATGCTTTTTATGGACAAAAAACAGTTAGCGCAAGTTCCAGAAACAACGCGTTATAGGTGTGTTATTACTTAGTCTATTTGTGTTTCGCGTTTTGCACCTTGTTACGATGACACCAGTGGAACTATACCGTGGTGGCTCAGTTGAACCATGCATCTTTTCTTTCCGCTTTTCTCGACCTTTACTGCATGCTTCTCCCTCTTCTCATGGATTTATTTCATGATTCATTGTTAGGAGGTAACGCAAAATCCTGTTGTAAACCTTTATCCTGTCAACAAGATATGCCATCAGAACCAATTTCTTAGCCCCTAATATTTGGGGACCGCAAACTGCAGTTAGTACCATGCATTTTTTGTTGCAGAACGAAAAGTGATCGTCGGAAGCTCGTTGTGAAAGTACAACAAGTTTTACCAGCTACATTCATACTTCCACCTGCTCGACTTGAGCAGTTACTCAATCAAGGTCCTATTTTTCTGCGTGTTTATTTTTTGTATTGTCTTTAATTTTGTAAATTTAGCCCATGCAACGCAAGTGTCCAGGTGCAGGGTTCACATGAGCCGGGAGTCATCGGAAGGTCTAGAAGCCGCAGATGTGTTTGTGGACCATAGCTGTCAAAAGCACTCTACCCGTTTCTATGCCAATACTCAGGTATTGTACACAATTTGGCCAGGTCTCTTCGTCGTCCATCTCACGAATTGCAGACTTTAACTGACCATAAATTCGAAGTTTGGTGTGTGGAGTTTTCACCGGATGGAAGCCTTTTAGCGAGCTGTTCCAAGTCAACCCGTATATTCATTCACTCGGTAAGTTTCTTTCTTCACTGTATCACTCTTGTTTGGACCAACTTTCATTTTTTTTGTTGAGACGTTTCCCATCGAAAATTGACTGACTCACATCCTTGATCCAAATAAGAGCCAAAAGATAAGAATGCGAGTCACATCTATTCGTTAACAAACTCTTTGATCAGTTGGTGGAGAATCTTGCGTGATCCCTTCCTTTGAACCGAGTTTCAGTTACGTATCTACTTTGAATGTTGCAGGTAATTTGTGGTGGCGAGAAAGTGGAGTTGTTACACCTTCTCTCGGGCTACGATAATGCTGATGTTGTGTCGTGTATAAGCTGGAGTGGTGATAGCAACCTGCTTGCCGTCGCTTGCTCAGAACAGGCTCCGTTTGATGTATGTTCAGAATTTATTCAGGACTTTCCCGATATTTAATTACTGAGTAGTTTTCATATTTTAGATAATGGTATTCGCTGCAAAGGAAGGGCGTATGCTGCGTACAATAAATAATTTGCCGAATTCACTCTTCACCACGTGTGCCTTTTTCAATGCACCAAATTATTTCCTTATTGTTGGTGATGAAAGGGGCCATCTTCAAATATGTGTGAGTTCCTTGTTTTATTCAAGTTTTGGAAATGTCCTTTCATTATTACGGGTTCTCTAAAAAGCAGGTTTGAGCAGCATTATCCAGGTTCAAGAAACGTCCTTTTTGGGTCAATCTATCTGTTTCCCATTGTGCTTGTAATACACGAAGAAGGGGTTTGCTTGTGGTAGGAGATATGTTCAAGAGCAAAATCGACTTGATGGGTGCAAATAATAAGAACCTCATCATTTGTAATGCGCTTAGTGTTTCTATTGGTGTCTGTGTTTTTGACTGGTTAAGAACTAAAGCTTTGCGTGGATCGAGTAACATTGGTTGAAAGTTTGGATGACCCGCACTATTCGCCGTGTTTTTAGCGCGGTTCACTCCACATCTGCGACCATGTACTGCGATCATTTCTATGTTCTCCCCGCATCAACCATATAAGGGCGTTGCTACAATAGAGTGCAACACAAAATGGAATTGTCAAAATCTGTTCAGAGATCCCTATAATCCTACGTTGAAGGGCTCTGACAGTCGTGGTGGGCCAATACCTTTTTTTCCCGACATCGGTTGACATTTTTGGGTCGGAATAAATTTATAGTCCACACTAAACCCGACTTATACCGTGTTCACATACAAATCAGGACTAAGTTCAAGTGAGCAATCAATTCAACATTCTCAAGCAAATAACGGGACTGATAAAATAGATCCAAATTACGATCGAAGGGTGTTTCAGGATGTTAAACAGTCGTCTGAGGGGCATGTGCTCGGATTGTGGGAAGGCTATAGAATCCGTGGTGTTTATGGAATGAGCGACAGCGTCACAGTTCTCGCCTCTGACACACACCATAGGTAAGCTTCGTTTAAGGTAGTCTTCATTGTGGCTTACGGATGTCCACTTTCCCATATATCTTTATCTTAACATGCGTGCATATGCAGCGTCGCATGCCATTAGCAGAGTACCCAGTCATTAAGAAGCTCGGTGGATTACTGTTCTCGCTCCAAACAGCGTGGCCGCGAATGATTGAAGCCCATGACTTTGGTGCGCCGAATCATTCGCAAAGCACGTGGTCTGTGAGGCGGATGCGCGGTCGCTCGCTCTACAAAGTTCCGTTCCTCTTTCGCGATTTCAAGTAGATCATCTTATTTGCTGCTGCCATGACAACTTCGAATGAATTGTTTTCAATCAATATTCATTAAAATGTATATGTTTCATATTTCACTGAAGAAGAAAAGGGAGATTCAGAGCAAAGCCTTCTGTGTAACACGAAACTTGTTTGACATTAACATGCTCATCAACGTTGAGGTCCTGTAGGTTTCAACGCGTACAAAAATTTCAAGTGGTATCGAACTTGGAAAGCTATATGCTGATTTTTGGACTTGAAGCGCGGGATAAATTGTACTAGATTGTTCCAAAATGCCTCCCTTAATCTATACATGAATCTTTGTTCAAGAAAGGTACTAAGTTTTCCATTAAGGCTGCGAAAGTATCGATTCGATAATCGTACAGATGAGACCGTTTTCACGGAAGAAGTACCTATCATATCTTTCCGAGTGCACCCGACTGAGCGGTACGGGATCTTTTTGATTATAATTGATTATTGATATTCAGGATTCATCTTTTTTCCTTGCAACACTTATTTTTACGGTCTACTACTCAGGTATGTTCTCACCACGACGCAGCGTAATCTTCGGATGTGGGATTTGCAGTCAAAGACGCTTGTAAGAAATTTTTATGGAGCTCAACAGGCAAATCTCGTTATTCACGCTGGATTCGGAGGACTAGGTCACGGATATGTTGCTACAGGGACTGAAGGTAATAGACAAAGTCGTCCTAAGGCATTCTTGGGATGGGCATAATCCTTGAAATTATTAGAGTGAGCGCAAATCTGCCGTTTGTGACTAACTGGATTAGTTTTTGGCAGCCATTTCTGTCCGCCGTTTGTTTCAAAACACGTTCCTACACCTAATCAACCCATTGTGTCAGAATATGGGATTTTTATTGAAAGCGGCAGACACTGAAATGTCGCATATCACCGCTAATCACTAGAGAATGCTGATGGTTCGTAGTTCAGTTGTATGTCTTCAGATCACAAGGTGATGATATGGAGGATCTCTAATAGCAAACACGCACTCAAGTTGCGAGGTCACAAGCGTGTTGTTAATGGAGTTTCGTGGAATCCAAAATATCCCAAGTAGGTTTTATGTTCCACTTCTAAATAAGCATGAGTAGCGGTCTATAGTTTAAAAACCTTCCCATGTTGGCGAAAAGGACGAGACTGGCTCAGATTCGAAGGTTCATCGAAATCAAGTGAGAAAAACGAGGTGACGATGTGTATGCGATTTACAAAATATCGAAAATCATAATTGGAAAATAGATTTTTTTAAAAAATCGAGAAAAAATTCTTTTTCTGAAATTCCACAGTACGATGGAAGTTGATACAATAGCGCCCGAGTAACTATGAGAAATCAGCAATTGTAACTACTAAATGATTCGATGACATGCTTCTTTTTTTCTTGGCATTCGAACGAACGGAACACCATTCTTGGGCTCTGAAGTAGCTCTGGGCATTAGATCAATTTGTGGCGGATTTCTCTTTCGCTGGAATAGAGATGGTACAGCGTTTAAACTCCTCTCTGAGTTGAAGGTAAACATTTCATTCATAGTCCTGACCTTTACGTGGCCGCTTTATGACAATATCTTTGTCTTGGTTGTCCTTACTAGGCTTCCTGTTGACAAAGCCGTCAATGTGTGGAAGCCAGTGGAGCCGTTCTCCTCTTGAAACTGAAACTATACACCACATCCCCTGGCTCGCGGACTCCCTGTACTTGCCGTTTTACCCCGCCCACCGCGCAAACTCTGCCCGGAATCCCTGAATCACATATTGGTGGGCATCTCTTGCGACATCTTCCATGATATCTGCGAGATTTTGGACGATATTGATTAGCACTTCGGCTTATCTTCGTTTGAGAGGAAAACCCGAAAAAAGTTGTTTCTTCGTCTAGGATTTCAAAGGGCGTGACGAAGGTTCACTACTCAAAGTTTCAGAGACTAACAGGTGCTTTTCTCGTGAAATTCTTGTGGGCGAAACGTTCGCTTTATGCTTTTTCGACTCCGGTCATGCCGAAAAATCTTTAAAATAGCTTTTTCATTGAGATTGAATTACTAGGAAACAACTTGTTTATTCCCCATTGTATGGTTTAAATGAGTGGCTTAATGGAGCTAATGTTTTTTTTTTCGTCAGCTCATGCAAAAATTGCGTAATCAATATCAAATCGATCATTTATACAATGAGGAGTCAAAATTACTGAATGAAACGGAAAGTTTTCATATTTTTGACTCGCTATTCCAAAAAAATCAAGTAAGGTTTTCGATTTTGGTGAATCGCATTACGCATGCTACTTCACCTTTTGTCTTGTACTTACTATGTGAATCTAAGGTAACTTTAATCTTTATCGACCGCGCTAGATCAATTGAATCTCAAAAAATTGACTTACTGTATCTTTTATACTTTAATTTTTTTTATTCATTGTATTGTATGTATTTTCATATTTAGCATGCTGGCAAGTTGCTCACAGGATGCTACTGTACGTATATGGATGATTGCACGAAATGACTTGCTTCTGGAGCCACCTTCAAGGCATCGTAAAGGCAAAAGAAAAACGAGTAAGCAACCGAAAGATCGAAAAGACAGAGTTGAAGCTGGCGGATGAATCTCGTCATTGAGTGTATTTGTTTCTCATTTGGTAACTCTTATTGGTGAGATGAGGTTACTAACAACATTCATGATTGTTTGAGCTCTTTGTGTTTTAATCCCTGCACACACACACATTTGTTTTGCTGTGTTGTCATCGTGCCTTCGTTTCGTCGCTACAAACAGTGAGAATCGGCGCCAGCTTCATGCTTCACATATTCATTATGACAGGATTGTGTGATGTAATGCTTTTAATGTTTGCGCCTTTTTTGCAGGTGATTCTGTGTTTTAGTGTACCATCGACGACTATGTAGATTTTTTCGTGTTTTATACAGGCCATTAAGGATTAAGTATTTTTAAGCAACCTCAACACGCTGCTTTTTATCTCAGGGTGTTATGTACGCTGGCAGTGTCGTGCAAATGAACGTGGCCAAATGATTAGGAGTTATTTTGCTCTACGATACAACACTGAGGTTGAGATAACAGTTGTGCATGATTAAGATTTGAACATTTATTAGCGCAGCTATAAAACACTAATGACTCGTCTTCCAACCTTTCGTCCTTAAGGCTGTCAATGACAGTCGTGAACTCTTTCAAAATGACACATGGATGTTTTATTAACTCAACAGCAGAAAGTGATGTAATATTTTGTCGATACTCAATCGCTAATTGCTACTTGCGAATAAATTGACCTCATGAACGTGTTCTGATGTAACAATTGCAGATGTGAAAGGCAGCGATTACGATAAATTCAAGAAAGGTTTAGTGGGACGTGGTAATGCTCAATGGTACACCAGTAGCAAAAGAGCAAAAAAAATCCGACAAAAAAACGCAAAACGGGACCCCTTTTTGGCCGTTGGTTTTCACTCATGAACAGGTGACAGCTCAGAAAGTGGGCGTATGAATGAGTTCACCGCAGCGCGTTTGATGGCATCATGCCAAACCACTCATTAATCGGAATGCTCCATTTGAGCCACTGCTGGCCACGCAGCTCGTCCAAATCATCAAGTGAACTAGTGGGCGAAGCGCCCGAAGTCCTGCTCAGCAAACAGCACATCTTTCGTTGTGGAAGCACCACATCTAGCTTCCCTTGCAGCCAAGTAAGTGATTCATGTGGCGCACATGGTTCCCCGATGTGCTCCCTATTTATTGTAATCGCTTCCTTTAAGCACACGGTGGAAGAGGACATGACCATGTCCGTAATAATTTTCCGTTACTGGTACTGGGTGGAAGAAATGCGGTGGCAGATTGCGGCACCGCTAACCATGCGCCAACTTCGGGAAGCACGCCAGAAGCCGTGGTCACAGCCCCCTGGCTCCATTCATGACACTTACCAGGAGGCCTTTCAGGAGTGCCAAGCTTTTCTAGAACGGTTTTTTGCATGATATAGGAGCGCTGCAGGAACACAAAATGATTGTTTTTCCTAAACGGTTCCCTGAATATCAAAAAAAGGATCATAAAAAATCACTTCAGAAAACGCTGTTTTTCCTGTTTCATTCTAGCCAGCCCACAGCGTTGACTGATTTCATACTAAAGGGTTTCCAGTGCGAACAACAAAAAATCAAACACGAAATCTAGGTGAAACTAGCATTTTTCCAAGCCATGAATTGAAGAAAGTGCTGTGGTTTCGTAAGATATGTCGGCGCGAGATTATGACGGTGCTCCAGAGGCCTAGTGAATAGCGTGATGGCCTGCAGTTGTCACGACGCAGATGGTGTGTTTGACTCGAGTCCCTTCGGCGATGCTCTTTTGCATTTTTTGCTGGCGCTTCACGATGAGTCACAAATGACATTTTCCATATAATGAGCGCACATTCATGATCAGGGTCATGAATAGCTCGATTAATATGAGCTTTCGTGGACAATTGGAGGAAAAATGTTGTGGCATCGAAGCGGTGCTGACGCCAAGAATGCGATATTCGTGATTGATCCCGAGTTTGCGCTGCCCGTACTTGTGTCGCATTGATGCACCCGAAGTTTAGGGAAAAACAAGATGTGGACGAAAGTTCGAAAAATCGGACAATCTCTAAGCCGTCATGTGTCCCGAATGGTATGGAGAACGGTAGGTAGGAGGTACGTTCTCGTGATTAACACGGAAACCGACGTTCTCCCCCGTAGAGCAAGTCTCACACTACGGTGGTATTATAAGTATAGACGCACCCCTATAACACAGCCAACTCTCATAAAAGTTCTCGACAGACTTGCTTATCAGCATCTGACTCAGCATACGTGAGAACCCATATTTACTAGCTTTTACGTTTAATGGAAAGAATTCGGCCTTTTTTCAGCAGGTGAATATTATTTTTTGGCTGTATCAAAAGCGTAGACGCACCTCGGAAAACTGAGACATTTATCATGAAAGCGAAGATATACCAGCTTATGGATAATCAATTGTTCCTTCATGTTCACAAATGACTGCAAAAATTCGATTTGGCATTGACTCAACTAATCTATACAGCAAATGCACTTTTAAAGTATCCCATGCCTGATTATTGCCATCTTGGGGTTTCTCACTCTATCAGAAGTTGTTCCCTGGCGGTAAATATCTCCAACTAAGATACCCCGGATGCTCTATATGGATTAGTATCAAGCGAGTCCGTTATGTCTACACTTCATTCCTCTAACATGAATTCATAGACCTACTCGCGTGAATCGCAGCGTTGTCTTCTCAGAAAAGGAATTCTTCTTCGGCGTGCCAGAAAAGTAGTAAATGACGAGGTAGCATGTCCTAGTAGTCCGACGAGTCCATATGAGTAAAGGTGAATACGATCTCAAGCTCCACGTTCTGATGGGATCCTCCCAAAACATCACGCTACCTCCATCGAAGTTACGTCTGCTGGAGTACTTCGATTCCTTGCGGAGAGCTCTCCACAGACCCGCATTTCCATCGCCGTCGAAAATGAAGTATTTCTCGCCAGTAAACATCACCTAAACAGGAAATTTTAACCTAGAGAGCTTTATTAGCGGGATGCGTACTTTCGATCAGTTTGTTGCCATACTCTTTCTGGCAAACTGGGGCAGAGCCTCCTTGTTAGCGTCGGTAATTCGAGGAGCAGGACCAAGATGACACCTAACTATAGAGTGGCGAAAAATTACGTGCGCCATAAAAAATGTCCTAACTTCATTTTTAGTCTATAAAAATTTGAAGAAAATTGATTTTATTAGACAACAAACTTCATCATTCAATAATTATAAAAAAAGTATCGAAGTGGCCGCTATCTGTTTTGATATAAATCTGAATTATAATAGTTTCGACATCGAAACGATGGTGCGGCGAAGGTGGAGAGTCGTCGGTTTTGACGAAAAACATTTTTCCATTAAAGCCTCAATACTCCCAAATTACTATCAACTTTTTCGCTCAACCCATGGGAACATTTCTAATTGGAAAATACATAAAGAAGCCCATTCACTGGCACGAGGCATCTATTCGCACGTTCCCGCCGTGGAGTTCGCTTCCTCGGCTCCCAGATCCTTTTGCTTTGCTTCCGCAGGATCCTGGGTCATGTAGAAATCAGTCGACAGGCTTTGATGAACACCGCGGTTCTTCAGCATTTCGACGATTGCTCAGGCTTGTCGTGTGTAGAGCGCGAACCTGTACTTTCTCGGATTTTGACAAGGGTGTGTGTGTATTGTGCAGAGTACTCATTCCTGGTCACTGCTTTCCTGGAACGGCAATTTGTCTATGTGTAGCCTCTTACTCTAACCGAGTCAATGGAATGTGTCTATATTTAGCCAAATTAATGTTCACCTGTTGAAATGGGCCGAATTTTTTCCCAATTTACGTGGAAGCTAGTTAACATATGTAGGTTTTCGTGCGTGCTGATTCAGATGGTGACAAGTCTGTCCGTCGAGAACTTCTGTGAAAGCCAGCTGTGTTACTTTCAGGGGTACCTCTATACTTATGATACGTACTGTACTACGTAATGTTAGTGCTATTCGATGATCAAGAAGGTGATGTCCTAACAGTTTGATTTTAACGCCAAGTTGCAGAGCCCAGAGCTGGTAGGGTTCCGTCATACCATTACGAATCCTGATTAAAATCAGTGCCAGTAAAAACAACAAAATTTCAGTTCTAACACAGTGGCGACAGAAGTTGTGCACGTGCTCGGCACTTTTTTACTTTTTTTTTCAGAATAGTCATTACTCGTTCAACAATTCACTTACTGGTAACTAATGCGCTGTTTTCCAGATGAGAAATGCTACAAATGCCAGATAAATAAGCAAAATGAGCGCAAACCAAGCGGGAATCTGACGCGCATGCGCGTCATGCTGCCGGAAATGTGTTAAGCTCGTGCTGTGCCACGTGGCGCGCGCAGCTGAATGGAAAAAATATAAGCGGTGCACAGTGTGTCGCACGCACCGCAGCAGAGGTTCCAATGTTGTGAAATAGAAATAGGCACTGAAAGCTTCACTCGAAAGCACCAAATATTCAACAACCACGAAGCAGCTAGGCCATTTACAGCCACGGGCAAATACATCAGTCATACCATCATAAACAAGAACACAATAGATTCACCTCAGAAGCATTGTTCAAGAGGTTCCGTTGATAATGATCACCTTGAACATTTCGCTTTTCTACAGATACTCAGGGCAATGAGTTATCACAAATATGCGAAGAAAGAGAATGGAATAAAATAAAATAGAATAAATTAAGCAATCCTCATTTTCACCCTAATTCAGGTTACGTATCACATTCCCCTATTTTATTTTGAACTGCCATTACTCCTTCAAATTCCTAACAAAATGCCGCATATATTACAAATCCACGGTGTCAACAATCAGTCCTTACAAATACAATGCTACTAAGCGCAACTGAAATGCATACTGAGCGCTCATCCTGAGCAGTTTGCAGCCTGTAATCTATGAGTAGATCCACAACGACTGGAATCACATTTTCCATCCCTATAAGAGGCAAATAATACCTATAATAAATCAATCGTACATATCAGACATTACACAGATAATCTACGTACTAGACATTACGTATACCAGGTTTTGAAACATAAGCCCACTTGAGGTAAAGTTGAACTTGTCAACACAACAACGCTAAGAGCTCAAACTGAAGAGTATTTTACTCTTGTTATCTCACACTTTAGGCAACACCCCCAGCAGAAGTCGTCTCGAAGAATCTATTCAGTGGGTGAGATGGAGTAGCCCGCCAGTATCACAGATGTGTCGTTGCACGACAAAGACGTAAGGGTGCTACAAAGTGAACTCATGGTGACCACTCTTAACGCATGAACGACTTACCTCGCGCACACACCATGACACTACGTGGATTACGGCGTAGCGGTTGATCCAAATGCGCTGGTTAGTTTACTGGTGGAGCAGGGTCGACGGACTACTTGAACTCCGTCATTAAACCGCCTCACTCCGATGCTTTCGCCTGCGCTCTCTCGCCTTATCAGTGGCTCATGACCACAGTGAGCGCACCCATTCAAACTCCACACTTGAATCGGCTCACTCACCCCAAGGCGCTTCCCCCGTCCAAGGCATAGTCCTAGAGCTCTCACCTTCTTCCTTGGCATTTGAAGCCAGACGCCGTTCTCTAATTGCCTGTGCTCTCCACCATTCGTGGTAGGACCATAGGATAATGTTCAAGTAACTCGTAAACCGTGGAGCAGGGAACTTCGCACAGCTCGTCTGCCCCTTATTTCAGAGAGAATCCTTGTTTAGGGCTCAATTGACAGTTCTCTTTGCTTCTTTTTTCACTTTAGTCAACTCGGCATCCACAACTTCATTATCGACTGCTGTATCCCCACAAATTTGATCCGAGTGTTGCTTTAGAATCTTCTATGCAAAAGTGGATACGCTTCTCTAGATAGAAGGAAGTGAATTCCGAGGAAATCAGTCACCTGAAACTGGTACTCCCTGTATTCTCCAAACCTATCGCTGTCACCATGCCTGGCAGTAATTGGAAAAAATAGTAGTGAGGTGAGAGGATGGATCGAGGTCAGGGTTACATGCAAAGAAGACGAATCCCCGATTCAAGATCTCAATTTTTACTTGGCGATGTCGTAATACTGCCTAGCTGTACAGTGTAAAGATTCGGTCTAGTTGTATCTATTATTTATGGATGCAGTGCTTATTGCAACGTGATTGTTCATGCAGCTATCCCGTGGCTGTCTGCACTGTATTAAGCGCCTCAAAACGCACAGGCTTGCTGATGGTACAGCAGAAACACGAGCCTCGAGCTTAGACACTACTACTAGGACGAGTAAAATACCAGGACACATGTCCAGTCGCGATGACAGCGAAACACAACATGGTGTGTGCCAATTTGACCGCGCCGTTGGCTGGGTTGTTGCGGTAGGCCGCAGCACGCGATGGGGCGTCGTCTATTACGGATTCCAAATTCGAACATGTAAGCTCGCCTTGAAGCTTACGCCTAACTTGAAACTGCCACACATTTCTTGTACTACGCCGAGCTTGACCTTTCTGGGTACGATTGAACAGCGTGCTCCCTGATCAAAAAACAGAATGCTGCTCTGGATTTAAACCTGCAACTGAAATCAAACTGCGATTTTGGAAGTAGGACCAAGCGTCTTTTCAAACTATTCAAAGAAGGGGGTCGTATTCTGCTCATGGAGTGAGGAGGGGGTCGCAAACCCAGGAGATCGTGACGATATCGTCACGGGTAGGTGAATGAGAAAAGGATACGCTGGATAAGAACATGAGTTTGTGAAAAAATGAGATAAAAGTTGCTTGATTTGAGTTTGACTGCTCGTATATCTCTCACAATCGATGGGATGGAACACGAGCTTGCCGGTGGCTACAAAAGGACGACGCGTATTTCACTTTTTTTCAGACGCAAGTTTATACAGTCTGAACGAAGCTAGAAACATCTGTGGGCTTAGGCTTGCATCACTACACAGTAATGATGAAAATGGCTGGCTTTCACGGATTATAGCTCGGAGAAATAAGATTTAAAATGCCTTCGCAACTTTGAAGCACATGTACGTGCGTGGCGCTTCCCAAGGCAGGACCTCTTGCCGGTATACTATGTATACTCATAAGATGAGCTTTTTTAGGAGGCACAGAAATTCGAACTATGACTTCGCGCCTATGAAGCAAGGCCTCAATCGGTGCACCGCCCCACGATCAACGCCTCCTGGTTATTGCTAAACTGAGCACATAAAAAAGTAGCACCTATACCAAGATACGCGCCGCGCCATTCAGAAATCAACCACCATTTCGGAAGCAAATACAGAAATCTGAGATCCAGACGCGTCTACCTGTGCATACCTCATTGCAAGGGTTGAACCAAACTGCTGACCTTCCCTCATTAGGCTATGCTTTGGAACTGCTGTTGTTTTGACAAATTCTATATTCACCTCAAAGGACACTTGTACTGCAGCAATCCAGTAATGTGCAAAATGTCCGGACCGTTTCGATATCAAACCGACGACTGTTGAGATATCGCTGGTTGAAGCAGCACCTCCTTTGACAATTCAATCAACTGCCTGAAAAATTCATGTCGTTTCAGTACGATGACGACCCAAGATAAAGGCATGTATTCTATGCTCATTCCATGAAGGAGTGCAGAGCAGATGTATTTTCACGGAAGGAAACGGTAAATATGGTCCGCACATAATTATGGCAGCAAATGCACTGTATATACATATGTGTGCGTTAATTTATTTGCTAAGATACTGCACTTTTCTTACTCAGATCCGCTTAAAACTACAGTCCATATCCCACAGACAGAGGAGGTGTGTCCCTGGTCGCGACGGCGGACTATACGAACTGCAGTAGTTGTCGTTGCCGGTTGACGACTTTCTTGCAGCTTTATATCTCTACTTCTTTCTATTTTCCAATTCCAACGCCTTGGCCCAATAGATGTGAGTTGGTTCAAGTCATTATGGTCGACGGACTACTTGAACTCTACCGCCTCTGCGCTTTCTAGAAGGTCCCTCTCCTCTCCAAAGCTCAGTCCTAGGGCATTCTCTAATCGTCTGTGCTCTAGTCATCGCTGCAGGACCATTGAGGAAAAGTCAAGTAGTCCGTAAACCAGTCATTCAGGACTGAAAAAAAAGAATAAAAGTGACGAAATAAGTGTGCGAAGAGGTGACCAGCCACAACGACACGACAACGCTGAGTTCACATTGTAAGCATTCACGGCTCCCTCGTCCGCAGAATAAGTATTGTATAAGGTTAGTAAGAAAGTTTTGAGCCGTTTGACATTCTTTTTGTTTTTTTTATTCAACATACAATGGAAGTTTCCCAACAATATAATCACCATTGCTACTCACTACAGTGTTCCACCTAATGGGCAATCCCCTTAACCAAACCGGGGAGATTGGAAGTCAAAGAAAACGCTGACCGCTCTTTCAACCTAACTTTGGTATTTTTTTCCGTAGCTAGGAATGCCTCAAAGGAGCAAAATAAGTGATAGTTAGAGGGAGTTATGTCAGGGGATTAGGATGGCTAGGAAACCATGTCCCACTCCAGCTCCTTCAATTAATATTCTCTTTATTTCTTTCACATCTTCACATGTCTCTTTTTCACATTGAGCCTGGTGTTATCGTGAAATAGGTGAAGAAAAGCTGATCACGTCGTTGTCGCCTTTCTTTGGCTCCCAACCTCCCCAGCTATAGGAGGAGGGAATGGTAAGCCAGTCATTAGGTGGGTACTGTAAAGGGAAACAATGGTGATTATATTGTTGAGGAAACTCTGCTGTATGCTGAATAAAAAAATAAAGAGGAAAAAATGTCAAAAGGCTCAAGACTTTCTTAACATCCTAATACCGTTGTGCGGGACCCAAGTAGCAACAGGACAGTAAATTAGTAAATACATTAACGCACACATATACCTACTGTGCATGTGCTACCACAATTATATGCATGTTTTTATAACATACAGGAAGGTTAGGAAGAATAGGAGTATAAAAATTGCTAATGCTTTGAAAGAACGATTCCTCTTGCTTAAACCAACATTCAAACGCAAGATGACGAAATCAGTGGTGCGCCGCACTTGAGAGCGAAGAGATACCTAATTGTTCCCGAGTGTTAGCCAAAGATAACTGCTACTGGTAAAAGCTACACCATTAAATCTCACTGACTTCAATTATTTTGTTAAGAAAAAAAAACTGAAAATGATTCAACTCCAAAGACCTTCACGCTGCAATTTTCGTATCTTCTTTTGTGAAGACACCACGGGGTTTTCCAAATTGACTATGATATAGAACAGCCGCGGAGCGAATGCATACACATTTTTGAAACAGAAGTTATTGCAAAAAGTCGTTTAGAGAAATGTCCTTACCTCCTTAACGACAAAGCCCGAGAAATCAGTTCACGCTCTCTAGTTCGCCATTGTGAAGCAGACTTCCTCAGCTGATCTTGTTCTGACCAGTCGATCTGCCATCGGAAGAACAACCGTTGCCACACATGCTGAAGTGATAAAAGGAGAAGGAAATGAAAAGCAGACAAACTTGGGAAGAATTCGCCAGCCACTCACAATGCTCTGCGGAGCAACCGATGGCCAAAGCACAGACACTCTCGGTTCATATGAGGTGTTGACAAAAGATCGTAATATTTCAGGATTGTTGACATACGACCACAAGGAGACGGTGGACGCTTTAACACCAAGTTCTTCCTTCATCTGAAATACATGATATACATAGAAAATTTCACTTTGGATATGATCTCTCAAAAAGGCTCACCATTTCACTGTTGCCTAAGAAAGAACCAAATTCACTCGCGTAGGCGTGTTCAAACAGAAACACCAAAAATTCTTCACCGAACTCAAAAGATAACGGATATTGAGCAATGATCTGAAAGAAAGGATTCAAGCAAAGATGCAGCGTACTTTTTCATCGGATCCCACACTGGGTTGTTTTATGATACATCATATTCGCCACGATCCCATCAATAAGGTCGCTAAGGACAGGAACATTATTTCAGAATGATCCGTGGCATTCATAGGGGACATGCAAGATTGGGTGTCATCTTGAAATTTTATGCTTTGCAGATTTAAAACATTTTTAAAACCTCTGTAATTAATCGCAAGCTTCATAACGCTTATGTTCAATGAAAGGTAGAAAATATTAGAATGTAGTGTTTAAACCGCCAGCATGTTAAAAGGGGTTTTTATGACTTGGCTGAACACACTGTATCAAAAATTCCACTAATCATATAACTTCAAGAGTATTCCATCTCCCACCCCTTTAAAATCCTATATCCCCTTCCGAAATTTCAGTTTTTTTTTGCCAGCAATGATTAATGTTAGAGTTTAAGACTGCAGTCATATTCAGTCATAGCTAAAGTCAAATATTTGATAGAATAACTGCTTTTCAGAGACAATTCTGCCCAATGGTGAGCGAGGGTTGGGCGCGTCAAAAGGGGCGTGGTCCCACGAGCCCGTTACGTGCACATTCGCCAATGCCGTAGAAGGGTTAATATTGGACGAACTATACAGGCGAAAAGGAGAAACGTAGGAAAAAAATGAATCAGAGTAATTCCTATATTGCGCATAAAATCAGCTGCGGAAAGAACTGGCTCGCAGCAGTTACCGATGACTGTACATTTGAGTTGCCGATACCTCCTTAGCCCATCAACTTCAGCTCAATTTCTGACTTTTCACGGAAACTCATGAACGCATTCCAAAAAGTTCGATTCTGTGCGAATCTTCGGGAAAAAAATTGATTTCTATAGCCTACCTGGTATACGGCATCAAGAAAACACAGGAAAACAGGGCTTTCTTGAGAACCAGTGATAGCTCCTTCAGCATATGCCGAGTGCGCGTTTCGAAGTTGAAAAGGATGCCCAGCACAAATCCATTCTCTCTCTATCAAAGACTGGAACCTAAACAATAACAGAAATCCGTAAAAGAGAAAACGTTGGAAGTGAAAAGACCGGAACAAGAAATTCAGTTCATTCTACATTCTCTAAGAGGTCTTTCCAATAAAATTTCGCGGAAATACACTACATCCGGAATCATGAGAGGACCAACCAATCGGTGTTACAATTTAAGATTTTTGACGACCCCGTTTTCTTGGAGGTGGCCTCGATACGACCCGTCCCCGCCCCCGATTACCTTCCTCACCATCACGGTTGCTTCTAGTCTTCAATTTCGGAACCAGTCCACCTGCTCCATTCCAACCCATTTTCCGCTCGAAAGGGCCGCTAAGCGAAGGGGGGGGGAGTAGGAAAGTGGGAGGGGGGCGTAAATATGGCCGAAGACGGGAAAGTTTTAATTCTGCTTACTGCTGTCATATCAACAGATAAAGAATAATAAGAATGCGAAATACCCTCGAATTGTCCTTGCATCTGGGTCAAGAATAACTTGTGCCAGAGATGTCGCCAATAATGTCGTGTCCGTTCCTTCACCACCGTGAACGATAACAGGTACTTCTGAACAAGTTATGAATGGAAATGACATAAATTTCATGAGCCTAGAAGAAAGAAATGAAAGAGAAAGACAGAAACAGCAGTTTTTGAAACAAAAAAGAAAAAGACAGAACGACCAGCAATTTATGAATGCTAATCACTGAAAAGTTCTGAAATACCTTTGGAAAGAACACACTGCGCCACATTAGCAGCACAGTTCAAGCTATCCGAGACGCAATGCAACCATGACGCATAAGCAAGTCTAGCAATGAGTCGATCGCATGATACTGTTTTGTCGTTGCACACTGAAATATCTAATGCCGTGTATTTGCTATTCATTCGTGTGAGGAATACTAGGCAAAAATCCAAACGATGCAATATTTTACAGATGAAAACATCATTTCATTTTCCTAATCTCACTTATTTTACCAAAACCTGGTCCTTTCAATCACACAACTAACAAGGAAATAATGCGAACCAAAAAGACCGTTTCGGATGAGATGGACTTACTAACTATAATGAGGCGTTCATGTCGTTGGAGGAGGGAAGGGGGATCATTCAAGTGAGTGAGCCACATACAATGCTTGGGCCCAGAGAGGTCAAAAACTGTATAAGTTTCGCATGGAAGCAGAAGTTCAACACTGCTTCAATAGAATCCGCTAAAACCGTAGCGGATAAGATTAACTCTCGTGGCAAACATAACAACTGAGATGACAAAATTCAAAAAGATGTTCACTTTTTCGAAAGCCCCGAGCTCCCTCCATACCACTCTACTAGACCCATTCCAAACTACACAGTAGCGGTCTCCAATTTTCGACATCACCTCCGCCGATTCCCGTTTCTCTCTAGCGCACATACGCGTCAACAACTAAATTTAACACAGCAATGAACATACGCTCCACCATCCTTGCCAGGGCTAAATGAATTTCTCGAATTCGTGGTATTGGAAAATACATGTATCGATACTGCGAGTAGTGTATTTGTGATTCACAACCACCACCTGAAAAAATAAAGAAATCATAAGAGAATCAAGATCGGAGAGAAAAATGAACAACCTTTACTCCTAGCACTTTGAGCGATGTGCTTAGCTCTTGTGTCAATTATAGTACCACGATTATGAGCTAGCAGTGATTTCAGAATATTCTCGTCTTCTTTACAACGTCGATTTGTTGGCCCAATCAGTGGCTGGCCACACCTCACTATGGACGACTACAACGAAAAATAATTCTGAAGTAATTAGTACACATTCGCTTCAAAATGAAGTGGAGTAAACATTCGTTTCTGCTTGTGTTGTTTCTTTTATATTTCTGCCGTGAGATAATCGAGGTCCCAATTCAAGAAAATTCAGTCCCACACTCCCTTTTCCACACTGAATTACAACAAAAAAGTGTGAGATTATTGTTGTTATAGTGGCCCTCCTTAGCCATGACATTTCTCCATCGATTGGGCAGAGCACTCATGGCCTTCCTTCAAAACGAAGGAGACGACGCAATGGATTCATCGACTGCACACTTGGTCACCCTGACAGTGGTTGAATTTCACCTTGGTGTGAGCCTGTAGAAAGGGGGCACGGTAACACAAAAGCCTATTTTAGGTCTATATTTTGGATGCGGCATCTATTATATATTACCCAGGTAATGTTTAGTTTCCGCTTCCAAACCGTCACCAGCTCGGTTTAGTTGGGCAACGAGCATGACAGCGTAAAACTTCCCCTACATCTGGTGGGAAACAGTTTCTCAATACCATTTCTCGTAGTTTCTAACTAAATTCCTAGTGTCACAACAGGAAGATCCCGTACGTAATGGAAGCTCTCGGCGGGCCGAAGAACGGACTGTGGCGGCTATTCCAATTTCCTGTGGGTGCTTCAGACGAGGGTTAGAACAATATCGGTATGGAAAGAACGAGAAGGTCCTTCGAAAAGCTTTGTCGAGATAATTTCTAAAAAAGTAAACGTGCTACCTATAGCATCTTCTAAAAGAAGTCCCGCTGCTGCCTAACGAGACGCATAACACGTTTCCGATCGAGTGGCAGGATTCTCAGAACGATAACAATAAAGCTGAAGGCCTCGGTAGTCGTGTGAATCGTCATGGTTCGATCAAGGCTAGTTATCAGCAGTAAGATCGAAGTGAAATACCCGACTGCTATGATACTCTTTTGATGCTGCCCTTTTAAATGCCATTTGTATTATGGATTTGCACGTTTCACACTTTCAAAAATGAGAGACAGAATTTTGTCAAAATTTTGGGACATACAATACTAATTGCTTGATGGTTAAATTTAAACAGGGCGAAGTGAGATGGCACAAAACATAAAAGTTTACCTGTGTACTACTGTGAAAGTAGCTAAGAACAGGAAAACGCGACCCATCTCGGAAGGTGGCGCTAATTCTCAAATAGTCATCTCCAATTCCCTTGGGTACAATTACTTTTTCAGGATATGATGGGCATACCTGCAAATCATCAATAAAACAAAGAAAATGTTCTTGAAGTAATAACCTGAAAAAAATTAAACTCAAGGAGAATAAAAGCAAGAAAAAGTGACAAATTGAGTGAACGAAAAAAAACTGCACAGATTGCACATGGATAGGTGGAATCATAAAACTATTCAAGCGTAATCTCATGGCTGCACAACAGGACACTGGGTTTGTTGTCCGACGGGGGAACATCTGCAGACGCTATTATTCGCGCTGCTATTAACAACTGTGATCATGTTCGAACCGGACATACATATTGAGACTCTCAGACACTTAACAAAATAAGTCAATTCAAGTAACGTAAGCCCGAGGGGGAAACATAGTAAGTCCGGGCGAGATGTAGATTGCCTGCGCACTCAGCAGTTTATCCCCCTCCCCAACTTCTTTTATCCCACTTATATCAGAAAAGTGATTTTTGACGTGGTTTCTAATCCCCTGCTTTGAGCTAAGTGCACATCTTCTAAGGGTTTTATAAGATATACAGGGGGGGGGCAAAAAAAGACATTTTGCCTCCACTTCCAGATGGATTTAAGCACATTTTACTCAACTCAGACCGAACGGCTCCAACTTATTATTAAAGAGTGCATTCCATTCTATAAGAAAATCTTCAAAGTGGCCACGTACAAGGACGGCATCAGAAGAATTAGCCCTGGAAACATGGTGTACTGAGTGGTCGATTCTCAATGGGTCCTTCGAAGGACGTGTACCATAACGACCCTTACTGAAAGCTCATGTTCCGAGGATTTGCACAGTGGTAGCTAAATGCCTCTAGAAAACTATACAACATTAAATCGATTCACGAATTGCGTAAGAGCTTCAGGCTGAAGCTCTTACGGTAGGACCTCCTTGAGCCTGAGACGATGACAGATGAACGTCATATTCTGAAGACGTGAGGGCAAGTGAAGAGAGCCTGCGTACACTATTTAGAGGAACACTTACGAAGGAATGCTCAATTGGTCAGTCCGGCCACTTTGTAAGTGTAGGTGTAGTCCGCTATACTCGTCTTGCGACGCTGAGTCAAAATCGCGTTCTCGTATTCTGCGGAACGATTCTCTCTGAAGGAATTTACGAGGTTCTTCTCACTGTGGCTTTCCTCACTATGGCGCCCTCTACATCCTGGCATCCCGCTTTCCTCGCTAAGTTGTAACCGGTGAGGAACTTCGTTTGTTGAGCCTAGTGGTGTAGTGGATAAGCGTTTGCTTTACATTGGTGAGGCGAGATGTTCAAAATCCTTGGGCATTGAAGAGTTTGCATTTTTTTAAGAGCTGCTCATATGAACCCAAAATGTGTTTATATTGAATAATATTGTTGATTTGCTTCTCCCTTTGCAATCTATTTTGTTTTGATCATTTGTGAGGGACATCATATTTGCTCGTATAGCTGAAATACTTCCGAAATATTGTCATTTAGGAGTTTTCTGTGTGTCAAAGTTCATCCCTAACGAAGAACGGAAAAAAAAGAGCACGAGGAGATTCAAGAGTCTGCCCTCTCTCCAGATGAAAGGGGACACAAATCGTCAAAATATTCCAAATATAAACACATTCTGGTTCGTATGAGAGCCCTCTGAAAAATGCAAAAGTCCTCAATGCCCAAGGATTTTGAACATCTTGACCTCACCAATGTAAAGCAAATACGTTATCCACACACCACTAGGCTCAGAACAAACTCCTCACCGTTCAACTTGAGCGAGGAAAGCGGATGCGAGGATGTAGAGGGCGCCATAGTGGAAAAGCACAGTGAGAAGAATCCCTCGTAAACTTCTTTCAGAGAATCGTTCCGCAGATACGGAGAACGATTTGAGCTCAGCGTCGCAAGACGAGTACAGTGGACTACACCTCATTACAAATGGCCGACTGACCAATTGAGCATTCCTCGTTAGGGAATACTCTGCTTGGACCTCCGTCAACGACAGCAATCTCTGCGAAGAAAAAAGAGCCGAAGTCCGACATAGGCAAAATGTCTTTTTTTTTGCCCCCCCCCCCCCGCGAGACTCCCGGCCCGCGAACCCCGACCCCGAAGCCCGGTTCTGGTCTTGTAGTTTTATCTCTTTCGTAATAAATGCCATCTATACTTGTCCACTTGTTCATTTCTTTCGTATCACCTCAACTCTCTAGAATATTTAACAAGATTTATTGTAATGGTCATGTCTTATGCTTGGCCCTTATAAGCTAGTAAGTAATTTGTTTTGCCACATCCTATATATTAATCTCCGTTTCTACACCTACGCCTTTCGCATTGGCTACATTGTTTCTTAATCGACGCTATATCATGCTGGTTTGTTCTCGTTCTTGGTCTAGAAGAGCCGACACTCCTATAAAATCAGGGTTTTTACGGTCACGCGCAAGCGCCCGACGCACTTGTTAGGGTCACGATAGGCCTGTGAATTACCCGCACAAGCACTTGGAATTCTTCGCATGCATGTCATTCATTTCTGAGGTGGTGGCGCACTGCCACTGAATCTCACGTTTTGCCGGTTCCGCTGACAGATCGACCCGCATCCGCTTTGACGCCGTATCACGGACAGTAGGCTTTCACGACAAAAGACTTTCTGGCTAAAATGGGATTATTTTATTTTTTCGTGACGTTTGTTTAGTGGCGTCGAGATTTTGGCTTGTCGTATGTAGTTGCATTGATTTTAAAAACGAGAAGCTGGTCCTACTCAGGAGAGGGGTATTGTTTGAACGGCCGAATCAAACACGATCCTGACCCCTACATGAAGCGGGAACTAGTGAGGGTATGTGTAATCTTATCTCTAGCTCAACTACGCAGATGTTTGGTGCGAGGGTGGGCGGGGCTTGCTGCCACAACCTCGGAAGCATCGTCCCGTCAGGCCCTGGAGTACTAGGCCAAAGAAATCTATACGTTTTTTGAGGACTAATAAGTAGGCTAGTCTATTTCGCAAGCAATGTTCCATGGCCCTGCCTCAAATCTTTTAACAAGGCCAAAAAATTCTCTGCTTGCTACAGGTCTGCTCGCCCGTAATCTGCAGTCTCATCGGACCCAGATAAGCACCGTGATCGCGAATGCGTAAGATAAACTTCAAATTCCCTAATTTTCTGCCGCACCGTCTTACAAAGCAGGCTGGTTGTCCGTGAAAAGTTTCTTTCAAAGGCTGCGCGAAGGGCGGTGTCTTCAAAACCCAACGTCGAAACACATTATGAAACGGTTCTAGTGGGAATACAAGCAACGAAACGAAAATCGGTAAGTCGATTCCGACGAAAAGACTATGCAGACCATAAAGCAATTCGAATGCAGCTGTCCTTGTACAAGTGACTGGAGTCGTGGTGAGCGCTAACGAGTTGAATGTTGGACCTAAAGGCAGGGATCTACGATGATGGTGGGCGGAGCGAATTTTTTGTGACGTCCATCAAAAGTCAACGGTAAGCTAAGACTCGTTGCTGGATGGTGTTATTGTGGCCGCCTCATGGCTCCCGTCATGACATTCAGCTGACGGTCACCAAACCCATCTCAGCTGCAATTACATCAGACTAACTCTTAGCAAAAATCTTCGACCATGAAACACAATCACATAGTACTTGTTTTGGAGCTCTCTGTCTTGCCCACGTCAAGAGCCGGCTAGTGCCTGCCTTTTTCCCACGACTTTATTCAGGCTACTTTTTTACTACTCTACTTTGCCTATGAGTGTCGCCACACACCCATACGGGCGCAACAGATTTTTTCGAGTCGCAAAATTCTGCTGAGAAGCAATGTGGACGTGGCAATGATCATTCTTAAAGTTGAACGCGAAATCAAACAACAGTTAACGCGTTGCGGCTTCTTCCGCTTAGTCTGGCCTTAATGTCGCCTTACGGGCCTCTGTCGGCGTACTGCTGGCAGAATTGTTAAGGACTCTTTCTTGTTCGGATGAAGTCGAATTCGGATCGACCACAAGCGGACATTGATGGAACTATATATTCCGCCTTGTGAGTACCACTATTGCGCGTTTGCGCTTTTTCCAGGTGTTGTTCTACCGCTGCTTTTTGTGGATGATTTTTTGTAATTTCGTTTCGGATGGGCCTGGGGGCGTGTGGTGGGCTCGTCGTTATCTGTTATTTTCTGCACGTGTTATTCTGTTGCGTTGCCTGGCCTTTGTGAATACGCGTAAATCCATCGCATTTCACTGCATTTCACGGGCAGACCGTAGTCCGCTGTGAACTTCCTGAGGTAAAGCGCATTTGTCTTTTGAATTTATTTATCCATACGCCACATACTACTGTACCTGACGACGCATAATCCTAATATGAGAAGCAAGAAAAATGAGCTGTAACTATGAGCAGTCCATAGCATGAAAAGGCTTAAATACGAAGGAACAGAAATCCTGAAAAGTCAGCATTATAGCCGACAGAAAGGAATAGCTCGGAGAAGACTTCAATCATAATAATAGGTTGGCGGCTCAGATAGAATATGCTTCGGCTTGCTCCCCCTAAATAATATTTTCGACAGATTTTTGTTTTGGGTTTTTTTCTTGGAAAGCGAGGCTGTCTAAAATGTCATCGAATCTCTCAGGTGATTTTTTGGTGCTCTGATTGTAGCCGCACAAGTCAGCATTTTTATTCTGATGACATTCAATAGGCGTAGCGATTCTTAATCGAGGAGGCTCCCGCTTCGACGGCACCGCCTCACTGCGGGGTTTGTTGTCGTATTGGTGTGTCGGTGAGTGTGCTTTTTTGTAGTATTTGTGGTCACGTGCCCTGAAAAAGGGTTCTGCTGTTTATTGACTGTATTTGATTTTGTCTTGTGTATTTTTTTCAAAATAATCCCTTGAGGTGAAGCTGTATTATAAGAGATGTCGGGGAAGAATAAAGGGAGAGGGTATGGAAGGCGCTGTTCAGATCTAATCCTAGAAGCAGCCTCACCTCCATAAGGATTCGCCAGAAATTTTCTGATTTTTCCCGGAAACACGATTTCCTTCCTGGAAACGCCTAGTGCGATCTCCCTCCCCCTTGTGGGAGACGGCGAAACCTTAGTCGCTTTAGTTGGCCACCCCTTGGCCCGAATAAGTACCGCCAACTAATGCACCATTGCACCACTTTAGCGGAGCTTACCGCATGCGCGCATTCCAGTGGAACTGGTCCAGTGTAAGTTTTATTGTATTTCTGAGTAAAAACTAATAAGAACGTTAAAATTGGAAGGCGTACTGAAGAGAAAGGCCGAACCTTGAGATTACACCCGGCTCGCATCGTCCTCCACCACCCCGTTTCTCTTTACCTCCTTCAGAACGCGTATTTGCCTTGCCAGGGTCAACAGCTTGTCTGTGTTTTCTCGCTTATAAGAGATCGAGTCATGGCCCTGTTGGTCTGCGTGATCCACCCTGCAATCACTATTTTACAAAAATTTACTAGGCCTTCACAAAAGCCCAAACGCACTCACATCGGTCCCGCGCGCATGGAGGATATACGCGCACTACAGTCGCTTGTTGATGGGCACGCGCAACCTTGAACCTGATTACACAAAAGTATGAAACGCTAGGGATGTCGTTCATACGCACGCCAAGGGGTACGTTGCTGCACGGGGTTCACTAGCATGTTACCTAGAGAGCGTTTCAAAATCGAAATTAATGCACTGTTTCATGCCCTCATTGAGACTGACTATGTAATCGTCGCATAGTCCACGCTGACATATTCAGAACAACGAGAAAAACTTACTCCAATTTTAAATCGAAGTTGCTTAAGTTTCTAAGGTTTTTTTTACCAATGCTCCGTTTTGCAATGGACCCACACGCTACCCATGGTGGCTTTTTTTCTCGATTTCAGACGAGACACCCTCTGCTTGGCCCTTGCTAAAACTAGGAATTTCGTGCTTTCATCCGCAGGACGTGGAGAAGGGGGGAGGTAAGGTGATAAGGGAGCCAATACCTAAAATACATACGTTCAACCGTGCTTATCGAATTTCTTCTTCTTGCCCGCCGGTACGCGTCTCCTAGTAATCTGCCTCTACCGATCCAGCTCCCATTTCCTCTCCAAGCGCCATTGGGGCCTCTATCCATCTGCTCTCGGTCATATTGTGAATGAAAGTGTTAAAGTCTTCGCAGGAAAAATGATGCTTCACTTCCGTCATACAGCGGAGTTGCCTTCAATGGTAACAATATCAGATACCTGAGTATTAGCAATGATGTATTGCTAACATACTTCCCAGTGGAAGAAGTTTCGTTCAATCTCTTCCTTTTTGTTCAAGACGTCCTACGAAAAGTTCCTGTTCGAAATCCGAAGTTATCGGGTTTGTTCGTTCCCAGGGGAATGGTTCTGGAAAATTTTCACCATCACGATTCCCAGCCCGCTGGCAGTCACACCGAAGTTCTCGTAAGATCTTCATGCAACCGATTTTCCGACCAAGATTTCCAGGTCTTGCCAAAAGGAGGCGCTAAAGATGCGCGCGGTCGTCGCCTG